TATCAATCGCACATAGATATACATATATATATAGATATATATGTTTATATATATAAATATAAATATATATAAATATATATAAAAAAATATTTTTCATATATTTTTGATAACAAAACCTTCATTGGGCTTTTGGAGACTATTCACAAAAAAAAATATTTTTCACCACACATCTCCAAGCGAAAGACTTTTCGAAAGACTATTTGTATTAGGAATATTGAAAGTTTTACTTCTACCTTAATCAGAAATAAGTAAAAACAATGCTTTACGCTAACCCTTAAGACCTTCAACAATATTATGGAATATTTTATTCCATAATATCTTCTTTCAGTATCTTATAAACTACCTACTTATCTTTGTGTCTGGGTTAGGTTAGAGTGGCAGCCTTCAATCTAAGAAAGCTTAAATAATGGCCCATTGTGTTACCACATGAATAGCATTGGCTTGTACATACACTAGAAGATCAATATAATACCAATGCCAAAAAATGCAACGACTCCTTGAATCTGCCTAATTCCCTAATATTGCAGGATGACAGCTCAGTTAGATCGGTAAGTAAAGGGCCCCCAAGATTTTTGGTCTTCTCCTAGCTAAAAATGTGCACTGATCAATGAGATGAAACACAGTTTCCTCCTCGTTTTCAGAGCTACAGATACGACAAAGGTCATTATAGGGAAGACCAAGTCTTATAGCATGCCTCTGTATTATGCAGTAGTCCCTCAGCATCGATATCGGCGTTTTCTACAAATAAAAATTTCTTTCCGCTAGAGTTTTTAGCACTTCTTTTTATTGGTTATATTGAAAATATGATCTTTTTCATACATTTCATTTCTTTTTCAGACTATATCACCTATATTTATCGTACTTTATAACTAACTCTTTGCACGAAGATATGCTTGCAGTTTTTAAAAGGAATGTATGTTATTGAGTACGTTGGTGTCTGTAATTTTCTCAAGTTTATACACTATATTATTTTATTAATATTATTTTTATTATATATTGATTATATATTGATTGTTGTTTCATTGAATCCTGATTTTAACCAAACAATTTTTGTTTAGTGAACAAGTGTGTTTTTTGATCAAATTTCTCCAAATATATATGAAGTCTGAATATATAAACTCAGACTTTATTTTTCAAATAGATGACCTGATTTATTTCTAATACTTTTTTTATAAATTTTTTTAATTAAAATGTAATTTAGAATTATCTGTGCAGTGTATTGAGATCAATATTTTGGTAGTTATCTTACAAATTAATTATCTTATTTATTTAGTTCAATTTTTTTTGAAGCTATAAAGTGCTGTTTGAAAATTACCTTATCTTTACAATATAAGATTAGTAGATAGATTAGATAAGATATAATTTAATGAATGTAAATTAAAATAAATGATTTAACTTTATTATGATTTTTACTCTTTGATTAGTTAGAAATGCTATATATTGAAAAAAAGAAAAATGTGTTTATAATACACTGTAAATTAATTTCATTGCAAGTAAATCGTATCAAATTTGCAAATGCGCGCATTAACAGGCCTCAATTTGTACTGATAAAAAGCGGATCAAGCCACTGGCAAGCAAACATTACTCAACGAAGGCCTACCACTAACAGTCATCATTCGAAATGAGCTAATGTGGATGAAATGTCCAATCATCAATGAAAGTTATCACGGCATCTGCATCAACATCAGCTTCAGCTTCAGCATCAGCACATCAAATTGGCTTTGAAGCAATTGCAATTCGCTGCATACGAGTACATGAAAGTGTTTTACATCGATTGCTGGCCGTAATAAAATGCAAAATAAAAAATGTTTCTATTAAAAATTTAATTAAATTTTAAAACCATAAAAAATGTGTTTTTCTATGCATAAATTTGCATTTCAATAAGTTTTGCAGACATTTTACTTTTTAGCACTTTCCTTGGCAGCAATCCGAAACATGAAACATGGCCTGCCATGCAATAAAACAATTTGATTTGTTTTTGCTAAACTGCTGATTTGCTGCATCTTGCAACGCGCTTCTTGGTAATCTGGCAGATACAAGTGGTACGGGGTTATCTGCTAACAACAAAACATAATTAATACAAGTTTAATTCGCAGCAATGATTTAATAAAAATTTTATTTTCAATTTACTCTCAATCCTTTCCATTCAAATTACGATTCATGTCTGTGAAATTCGCATTTTGCCTCAATTTTGCAGCAATTTGGATGTAATTTTTATATCCAGATTATTGCATTGTTTTTCTTTTCGTTTTTGTTACGTTAATGAACGCTAAATTATTTAACACTTTTCCCGACATGTTCATTTCGTTGAAACTTGCTGGATTGTTACAATTGCATTCCATCAAATGTTGCTGAACTTCAAAAATATTTACAATTTATTACTCGCATTTAGGCTTTTTCAAATGGTAATAACATTTTTACTTTTTAAATATTTTTTAATCTAAATCTTAAGAGCATATATATATTGAAGAAAATCATTTTTTTAAATTTGACAAATATTTTTTATTTAGGCGAACAGTTAATCTTATATTTAATTCCAAATACTACAAAATAAAATGATTTTGAACACAAAAGCGAGGAATTTTCGTGTTTTTGCTATGATTCTTAAGAATTTCAATACTGGCTCTATTGGTTTCTTCCTTCAATATTTCTGCATTTGTTAAGCATTTATACTAAATTCATGCCTCCATAGGTTCAGTTGCATTTTTAATACTCGCAACTTGTACAAGTATTATCACATTTGGAAACAAAAACTTATCTAAATAGAAGAGGTAGCTCTTAACTTATCAGATAGTTCTCGCAAACATATTATGGACACAAGTCTTCTAAAACTAAGCTTCTAATAGACGGCTTAACCTTGTAATAGACTATGTTGTTTGTTTGGTTAGCTGAAGTGCGATTAGCACTTTCGTATCGTATCGTTACCACATCTTTATTACCAACAAATTTTACAGTTGTTTGAGCAATTGCTGTAGTTTTTTTATATTAACTCCCGTTAGCACTTCCCAATTGTAGAAGAACAGTTTGCCTAACGTAGTTGTTCTCTTTCTCCAAATGTCATGATAAATACAAAAAACGTAAAAAACAATTTTCTTTTCCTCCGGTTGACTGCGGCTGTGATAGTTGGACACCAATATTGTGAAGGATTCCTATTTTGGCAACCTGCATTCCTACATGCAGAAGATAGTAATTACTCCAGCAACTCTGGAAATATTTCTTCTATTTCTATTGTTTGCTTCCGTTTATATTCAAGACAAAGTAACCTACTCGTCTTGCACGTTAAAAGACTTTTCCATCTGTAACCCGCTATTTGGATATATTTAGTTTAAGTGACTTATTGACTATGTTTAGTGGCTTACTCACTGGTTCCACCAGAATTTTTGATTGATAAATGCTTTTCTCTCCAGTTTATTTGTGGGTAAATCTCTATATTCCGATATTATGGGACCCAAATTAAAGAAACATTATGCAGTTCGCTTGAATTGGTTAAGTTCCTTATACTTGTCTACGAAAATATTTAGCTAAAACTTCATCTATGGCAAAAAAGATTTAAAAATTGGAGGTTGGAGTTTGACACAATCACCATAGCAATGCAAAACAAAAAAACCACTCAGATGGTTATATTATAAACAATTCAGTTATGGTCAATAATGTACTGAACCCTGAACTGAAGAAAATGTACCGGGAATGTGTTTTAAAACTACTTAAAGTGACAACAAGAATTGATAAATAAATTTCGCTTTAATATTGTAATTTTAAATATTTTAAAATTTTAAATTAGATATATTATTTTTCAAGAGAAATATATTATATATATACATATATATTTTATAAAAATGTAATAGAAATATTTCAGATATATTATCAGATATATTATATATATTTGTAAAAAATATAAATGGCTACTCACACGATTAAAGAATGTTAGATTAATCTAAAAATGTTCGATTGCACACCAAAATTTGATGAAGAGTAAATCTAAATTGAAACCAAACAAAACACCATAAGTGACTATTAGATTAAAAATAGTTTTTTATGTAACAGTTTTTAGGATATAACGAAAAAATAAACTGCATGTTTTTCTCACGCTTAATTATTTACTTCCTACAAAGATAGTAAAGATAATAAACTGTCTTGTAATAATTCTGGTAAGCCGTGAGCTATAAATATTATAAATTACCTATAAAGGGTTTTTAATGAATTTGGTTGCGTCTATAATTATTACACACATCTTCGGTATTTACGTATAACATTCCTTTTCAGTTAGATTATTTTCAACATTAAATTCCATGTACAGACTTATTTATAATAAAAACCTATATCCTGCAATGGTTTTTTATGGACGCTATAGATAAAATAAACTAATCTCTTCCATATCCCATATTTGTTTTTATTGTTTTTGACTTTGCATGTATGCTTTTTGAAATAGACCTTGATCATTTGTCGCTTTGGCCGAAATCGAACTCCTCCTATATCCCATAACTGTCATATCAAGCTTAAATATTAAGATTTGCACTAATGACTAAGTTCCTTTTTCTTTTATGACAAACTTTTGGCAGCGCTTACAAAACTGTTAATTAATTACAAATTTTTCACATGATTATTTTCAAACATATTAAACGGAATATATTATTATAATTCTTAAATATTCTTAATAAGCCCACTTTTTTCTGTTCGTGGTACCTAGATAATTGCCTATTCATTGAACTAAAATTAGCATATTTTTTAAAATGGGAGCATGGTATTTACATTATAATTATCATTGTTATGGTATGCATAAATTTTATTTATGCAAATAAAAATGCTAACTATGAATAATAAGTTTTCATTAATGAAGTGATTATATAAAAATTATCATCGCACCAGTTTCATATAAATAGTACTCATTTAGTTCGTTAATACAATTTAATTTTATTTTATCATGAAGCTGTTTGGAGTTTATTTTTGCATACAATTCGTGTTTCTCGGTAAGAAAATTTAAAAATGTTTCTAAATCAAAGTTTTAATCTGACTTTCACAGAATTCACATTAACCCAGAAAACAGAGTTTACAAAGCACATCATATACGATCTGTATACTAGCTCCAATCCTAAAAATCCTCAAGTCATAAAATTGTATGATTATTTTTCCATCAAAAAGTCAAATTACAACACACGACTCAGAACAAAGTAAGTTAAAATCCTTTTAGAAGTATATCTTTATTATAATCTATATTATCTATATTGTAGGATTATGATACATGGGTGGATCCCAGATTTTGACAAAAGATATACTTATGTTGTGCGAGACGCATATTTGGGGATTAACAACTTAAACTTTATTGAAGTTAATTGGACCTATTATTCAAGACTAGACTATCCTGTGGTAATTAAATTATTACCCAGAATAGGAGAGGAAATAGCAAAATTAGTTGATTATTTAAATGTAAAGTTTAAACTTGATTTTGATGAAGTCATACTGATTGGGCATAGTATGGGTGCACATGTGGCAGGTTTTACTGGGAAATATGTGAAACGTGGAAAAATAGCCGGTATTGTTGGATTGGATGCTACACGTCCTCTTATTACTTATAATATTCCTGGCACGCATTTAGAAGCCACTGATGCTAAGTATGTTGAAACACTACATGTTACAACCTTCAGGGGCACATTAATGCCTATTGGAAATGTTTCTTTTTATCCCAACTGGGGGAGAAAACTACCAGGTTGCAATGAAGGTGATATTGATTATTGTTCTCATGAAAAAGCACCGGCACTTTATGCAGCAGCAGTAGGAGGTTACCCACTTGGACCATATTATAAATGCATGTCGTTTGAAAATATTGTAGAAAAAAGCGATTGTAATGAATTAGCTGTTAATGCTAAAATCGGTGATCCATTAGACATTGAACAAGTTATGGGTATATATTATTTGGAAATAAAAGATGGTGACATTTAGTTATATATTCCATTTAATATATAAGTTTGTTATGCCACAATACAACACTTCACGTTTTGTTAATAATTTGTAATGTGTAAAATACAGCTAAGTACAACTAACAAACTAATTATGCTATTAACAATGTACCATACTTAAAATATAATGTTATCATTTATTAATCCTAATTAAGTAGCAGTCTTTTAGTATAGCTTTAGTATTTAGCTTAAGTATTTATCCTATTCAGGTAAAATACGTAAACGTCGCGACAGGTGACGAATGATCGATGAATGCTATGAGCTCGAAATAAAAGAACAATCCACTATTTCGATCTTCCAGTGAGTAGAAACTAGCAAAAGTCCGCGAACGGAGTAAATCCAAGCAAATGGTCACATGTTTTTCAGAAAAGCCGGTAATGTGCAACTGTACCACTTGTACAACATAGAACGGTAGTATACAACCATTTGTTTACCGGAAGTCTTTGGAGAATTGATCAAAGCCAACCATCGAAGGAAAATTATACTCCACCACGACAATGCGGGCTCACAAACGTCAGCACAAACAAAATTGTTTTTGAGTACTCAAAACGTCAAATTATAGAGATTCGTCATTCCTTCTAAGCTTAATTTATAATAATGCAATTTATAATTTGATGATGAATTTAAATTTATCAACGTATATAATGAACTTTGTAGTTGTCTTATATTTAATTCCGAAATATTTATTATTACAAATTTATATACCAGCACTGGTATTATGGTTTTAATTCAAATGCTTAATTAAGAATAAGTGATCAAAAATTTTATCATATAATCAATATATTATCTATATAAGTTATCTTAAAATTACGTTTAAAATAAATAATAAAACATTTTAATAATTAAGAAAGGTAAGTATTTTCAATCTCTAAAATGTGATATTAAAGTTGTTTGCTTCAGTCAATTACTATTAATTTTTCACTAATATTACTCCATATATACAATCATTTAAAGCGTATTAATTAATCAAGTTCATTTTATTAAATAATAAAAAATAATTTGATTTGATTGAAGTGATAAAAGAGAATATACGATTTTTACTCGTATATACCATAATTAATAGCTCAAATAAAATAAAAAAATTATATAGAATTTGAGCCATTTTTGTATCCGACTTTACAATTGCAGCAGATCGAAATGACTTAGCCCAACCCAAAGTTAAAGTTACAGTCTTTTAAGTCTTGCAGCCAATGTGAGTTCATAGAAAGGAAAAATGGATTGCATAAAATCATTTATGATAAGAATCTTAATAGAATAGCAAGCCACTCAGTATGAATTAGGCTTAATGGCAGTTTTAGACAATATATGAGTTAACGATTTTATGTGTTGCAATATTTGCGTAAATTAAATTGCCTTTTGCTAACAAGCTTTTATGTTATGCTCCAGTCGCAGCAACAAAATAATAAATGTAATCCGAGAACTCCTGCAGAGACAAGCCAAGAAGGCCAGAGACAATGAGTCGACATGGAGAACGTATGTAAAAGCACAAACCACATTCAGATCTCATTAGTGATAAATGCCTATGCCTAAGAAAGCATCCATAAAATATGCAGAGAGGTGGCAAAGCGTTGCTTGGCATTCATAATTGTAGGAGTTTGTGATGAAGTTACAGAAATTGGTTTTGTTATAGATAATATTTATTATTTCTGTAATAGTAAATGAAATTGTCGAAACCTTTTATTAAATGTTTAGATAAGTTTTCTTTCTCTAAATTTGAAGATTTTGCCTTAATTAAAATGTATAATATAATATATGTTTTGTTATGCTTTATAGACTTGATGTTTCTAACTGTAAAAATGTTCTAAAAAAATTATCTGAATTGTGAATAATATTGGCAATTAATTTATTTTTTTCGCCTTCATTTTTATATCCAGACTGATCTCCCAACATTAAGGGAATGCCAGTATGTATACGAAGAACTACAAATATCACAATTAAAGTTAAGCTAAGATCAAAAAGGAATGGTGAATGTTTAAATGTCGAAAAATATACAAAAGTTCAATTGGTGCAATCAACTGTAACGGATTTTTCAATCAGCAACACAGAAACAGCAACAGTTGCTATAGCAGTAGCAGCAGCAGCAGCGGCTGTAACAATTGTTTCATATAATTTTCAATATAATTTAATTTTTTTTTTCGTTGTGGTTTTGCTCACTTCAATCTGATATCTAAATTTGTAAATGTAATGGTGATTGTGGCAAATTTCGCAAGCATAATAACATTTGGGTATGAAGATTTTTCATTGAGCCGGTAATGCTTAGTGCTCACTGCTTATCTATCTGACTTCATGCCTGGCAGTGATTAAGTTGTACGTCAATTCATAGTTGTGTCTTTATATCTTAATCATTGCCACTGCCACACAATCAACTTGACAGTGTATCTTTCCGTCTGTCAGCCTATTTGTTAGTCCATAATGCCGCTTACATATTAATCCATCTATCTATCAATTGGACTATCTCGGATTATTTGAGTTATGGTAATGACCGCACCTTTTCTGCTGCTGTTGTTCATCTATAAAAGTGGCATATGTTTTGGCATTTGTCAGATAAATTGAAACACATTTATAAGCTCGATAAGACTTTATAGGCATTTCAATGTTGGTAATATGATTTTCTACTTCAATTAGATTTTGATTAAATAAAATTCGTTCTAGCACTAAGCTAAATAATAAAACAAGTATGACTAATAAATTAATGTTTTGAATTCAAATGTAACATTTAAAAGTAGATCAAAATTTAATTTCAAATTTATTAATCATAATTTTGCACATTTAAAGAAGTTTTAATATATTATAGTATACTTATGTTTTAATAAAAACAAATTTTATTTTTATTTTTTACGTTGGCGCAGTGATAATTCGTATAATAAACTATTACTTTTAATTTATCCACATTATAGATTACTAAATCTGCACGTACTAATCTTCGAAAGGCTAAGTCAGTGCAATTGCATTTGTAACAACAATATGCAGTTATCTACAGCTTTATATTGCGTGAGACCTTAACTCACTTAAATTACCTCTTAACAATGAATAGGGAAGTCATTTCATTCGCCCCTTACAAATCCACAAATATAAGGAAAGGTTATGGGCATCTGAATGTCATGTTCGTTATTTCGTCTTCTCTAATTTTTTTATATAGTATTAACTTAATCATGCCTAAAACCATGATTTATCTTTTGGCCGACACAATTGCATCAGTATTTCAAAAATGAATATATACAAATTTTAGTTAAATGTATAATTCTTGAAAAAAATTTTTCACTTTTTTTAATTTTAATGGAAAAAAAAGTTAACTTCGAAAGTTAAAACGTTTCTGATCTTTCAGAAATTATTCAATAATAAAGTAATTACATTTTGTGAACATTTCTATATATACAGTGACACCACCTAGTGGCAAGTACATGCCATTTTGTAGATCATTTAGCATACTGAGGAGTTGTGAAAATCCTAATTGAAGAATATTACAAGTTTAAAAAAAAATGATAAGCACATCATGATTCTTATGAAATATGAAAGGGCATTCATATTGAGTTAAAAACAGAAAAATGAAAAAATATGTAAAAAGTAAGTGCATCAGTCCTCACTAGACCATATAGAAAAGCCGTAAGCTAATTTTAAAACTGAATGAATGTGTAGTAATTTTAGTGTAATTGCCAATAAGGGCATTTTTATTACGTTGAAACCAAAAATAGTAAAAAAAATATATAAAAAACCAGTTCGCTGATATTATCCTAAATTCGTTATTATGTGTACAAAAGCCATAGAGCACTTTTAAGACATTTGAAATATTTATTTCAATATAACTAGATAACCTAACATTAAAATTAGTATATAAAATATTATTTTCTCGCAAGCATGACTAAATGAGCTGCTGAACCTATAGATATAGTAATGTTGAAGCCACAAACGACTCTGAACTTCAAAGTCTTACCATTATCGCTTCTGGAAAACCATATTATACTCATAAAAAATCCCAAAACTACAATTAATTAATTATTAATTAAAGTAAATTTCTATTTTGTTTTTGTACAAAATACAGACAACTTGCAAAATCTTTAGTAACATTCTGGGAATATTAAAGATTATCTCATCACAAACGATTTGTTACTTTCAATTAAATTTTATTCAAGTAAATTTTAAATTCGGTAAGGCAATTAGTATAATGAATATAAAACAATTATAAATAAATTAAATTGATTTTTTGAAACAGTCCAACCGAATTTATTGGCAGTTCGATGCGAACTCATAAGAGTGCAAATTTTTTAAAATTAGTGCTCAGTAATTTCAGAAAACATAAAACTTCAATAAAAGTTGCATGTACTTTTGCCGATCGTGTAAGATGTTTGATTGATCATAAATACAGGTTGCATAATAAAATTGAATTTGTTTTAATTAAAAACAATTCGACACAAGAAAAATAAGAGTTTCGATCTTAGACGACCACAGATTTGCGCTACATTGTGTTAAGGAAAACTAAAGTTCGTGTAATATATTCAAAAAAATATTTTAAATTTAGAACCAAATATTGAATAGTATAAAAAATTAATTTATATATATTTTATTTATTCACACATAATTTTTATGTATTAAACAATTCTTAATTATTTGTCATACCTTGTAGCGTGTATCTTAAGTTGCTCTATGTAGCATATGAATTTTCTGTCGAATATTAAAAAAATATTAAATATTTTTAAATTTCTAGCGGAGATTGTATTTAGTACATTCAATGAAATAATCACTTTTAATTTTCAATTTTCATAAACACAGGTGAAAACTTAATTATGTAATAAAAAATTGCTGTGAACAAAATAAAAAAAACAACTTCAACTTCACTGAAGTGTTACCGTTTCTGCCTTGTAACTTTACATTTGTGTTCATTTGAGCCTAAATAACAGCCAATTTACGTGTATCTTAGCTCGTTCCAGTGTTGAAAGTTGTAATTTAAGCGTTGAATTGTTGTTCACGGAAAAATCAGTATTTAATTATAGTACACACACCTGTCTGCA